CTGCCTTTAGTTACCTTTGTCTTACCTGCCTGATGGGTTGCAGTGTTAGTAGTCTTTGATTCTGCTAAGGGCTCCAGTATCATACAATTTACCTCACAGTGTTCTAGAACTGCCAGCTTGTTCAAGAAAATCTCTGTTATTTTACTCATTTTTTTCCAGTGTTTAGGCATTCAAGCATTGTGGATACTTTAAAAAAAATTATTATTTTATTTTGATTAAATGCCTTATAAGTTATAAAGAACTATTTAAAAGAACCACTGGGACACACGTTTTTTTTTACATTATAAAGAACAATCTAACAGAACCCTTTGGACATAACCAGACTGTCAGAAATGTCAGAAACAGTTTGTGGTGACTGCACTAGTCATGTGACCTTGGATCCTCAGGCTCACAGTCCTTCCTGTCTACACCACCATCAAAGTGGTAAATAGTAAAGTAAAATAAACGACACCTTTAGGCTTATTGGGCTAGACCAATGTTTTATAGACCAATCGGTACTAAGTTGGTGATGTGATCAACATTGTGCCAGCCACTTTTACTTCCCTGGACTTTACCTGGCACCTGTTTAAGGCTGGGTTGACCTGGGAGCCAAAGTTATTTTTGAAAAATACCTGGCTCCGTCAGGAGCTGAACTAATGACCTTCATATCTAAAGGTGAGCCACTAGACTACTGCAGCTCCCAAAGAAGTGGGGAATACAGGCAGGAAAGGCAGATCTATGGTCACTGTAATGATGATGTTGTTTTGGTTCTCATCAGGTAACTGATGATGGCTATGGTGTGTCCTACATGATTGCTGGAGAGGACACCATCTTCTTTCACATCTCTTGTAAAAAATCCTGCCCACATACGGTAAAGTGATGTTCTGTACACCATCAGCATCGTTATCGTCATCACTGTCATCATCATCATCATCATTTTGTGCCCTTATAGGTCACATAGCGCTGCATTTTATTCTTCCAGTGTGTTCTGGCCTGTACAGTTGTCTCAGCGTAATGGACATAATCCAGCCCAGCACCCCTGGCGTCTGTCATCAACGTTTGTCTTAAAGAGTTTCTTGTAGGCATACTCATTTCATCACCCCATGTGTTTCCCATCTGGGTGACTGGAGATTCTCTATTTATTATTTTTTCCTCTTAAACACCACACTCAAACATATTTATGCATACATCGTCTTCATGTTATAGTCTGAGCCATGTGCTGTTGGTTGTTGTGTTATCCAGAGCCTTTTGTCTCATGTGCTACAAAATATTTCTCCTATAAATGTTCCTTATACCATGGGGTCAAACTGTCTATCATCTTCTCTCATGGTCTCCCTAGTCTTTTTGCACCTCTTGTCACCCGGAATATAACGTAGATTTTCTGCGGGGAATATTCTGAAGTGCAGGTAATGAACAGCTTGATATAATGGCTGCCTTTACTCCTTCAGAGGGTGAGTTACTTTAGGATAAAGTGGGAGCATAAGATGTTATGTTTTGGCCAATCTGACATGAATGTCTTTGCATTTTCTTCTTCATGTTGACCAGCTGTAAACACCAGCATAAAATTCTGGTTGTTTGTCCACTTCTGAACTTTAGTCTTGTGTCAGAACTTGAGTTTTGCATGCACAACCATTTTACAGATCTGACTTATGTGTATACAGATTGTTGATGCCTTGATATCAACTTCCATAAAGAGAAACACTGAAGAAATATAGTGAACATAGAGCAAATGGAAAAACTTTGCAAAAGTTAGTTCTACATCATCAAGAACAGCCTTGAGAAAATGAAGATAAACTTATAGACGGGAAGAAACACACGGGAAGAAACACACGGGAAGAAGAGAAGGAAAAGAAGCGGACAAAGAAAAAGAAGAAGATGAAGAAGAAGACGGAGAAGAGGATGAAGAGGAAGTTGGTGTTGTGTTTCTGAACAAACCCAAAGAAATCTGTTTAGACGTTTAGACATTGTCACCTGTAGCAGAGTACTTGTTGCACTAATGTGGAGTAGACATTGTCACCTGCAGTAGAGTACTTGTTGCACTAATGTGGAGTAGACATTGTCACCTGCAGCAGAGTACTTGTTGCACTAATGTGGAGTAGACATTGTCACCTGCAGCAGAGTACTTGTTGCACTAATGTGGAGTAGAGATTGTCACCTGCAACAGAGTACTTGTTGCACTAATGTGGAGTAGAGATTGTCACCTGCAGCAGAGTACTTGTTGCACTAATGTGGAGTAGACATTGTCACCTGCAGCAGAGTACTTGTTGCACTAATGTGGAGTAGACATTGTCACCTGCAGCAGAGTACTTGTTGCACTAATGTGGAGTAGACATTGTCACCTGCAGTAGAGTACTTGTTGCACTAATGTGGAGTAGACATTGTCACCTGCAGTAGAGTACTTGTTGCACTAATGTGGAGTAGACATTGTCACCTGCAGCAGAGTACTTGTTGCACTAATGTGGAGTAGACATTGTCACCTGCAGCAGAGTACTTGTTGCACTAATGTGGAGTAGACATTGTCACCTGCAGCAGAGTACTTGCACTAATGTGGAGTAGACATTGTCACCTGCAGCAGAGTACTTGTTGCACTAATGTGGAGTAGACATTGTCACCTGCAGCAGAGTACTTGTTGCACTAATGTGGAGTAGACATTGTCACCTGCAGCAGAGTACTTGTTGCACTAATGTGGAGTAGACATTGTCACCTGCAGTAGAGTACTTGTTGCACTAATGTGGAGTAGACATTGTCACCTACAGTAGAGTACTTGTTGCACTAATGTGGAGTAGACATTGTCACCTGCAGCAGAGTACTTGTTGCACTAATGTGGAGTAGACATTGTCACCTGCAGCAGAGTACTTGTTGCACTAATGTGGAGTAGACATTGTCACCTGCAGTAGAGTACTTGTTTGTTGCACTAATGTGGAGTAGACATTGTCACCTGCAGCAGAGTACTTGTTGCACTAATGTGGAGTAGACATTGTCACCTGCAGCAGAGTACTTGTTGCACTAATGTGGAGTAGACATTGTCACCTGCAGTAGAGTACTTGTTGCACTAATGTGGAGTAGACATTGTCACCTGCAGTAGAGTACTTGTTGCACTAATGTGGAGTAGACATTGTCACCTGCAGTAGAGTACTTGTTGCACTAATGTGGAGTAGACATTGTCACCTGCAGCAGAGTACTTGTTGCACTAATGTGGAGTAGACATTGTCACCTGCAGTAGAGTACTTGTTGCACTAATGTGGAGTAGACATTGTCACCTGCAGCAGAGTACTTGTTGCACTAATGTGGAGTAGACATTGTCACCTGCAGTAGAGTACTTGTTGCACTAATGTGGAGTAGACATTGTCACCTGCAGCAGAGTACTTGTTGCACTAATGTGGAGTAGACATTGTCACCTGCAGTAGAGTACTTGTTGCACTAATGTGGAGTAGACATTGTCACCTGCAGTAGAGTACTTGTTGCACTAATGTGGAGTAGACATTGTCACCTGCAGTAGAGTACTTGTTGCACTAATGTGGAGTAGACGTCATTTGCAGCAGAGTACTTGTTGCACTAATGTGGAGTAGACATTGTCACCTGCAGCAGAGTACTTGTTGCACTAATGTGGAGTAGACATTGTCACCTGCAGTAGAGTACTTGTTGCACTAATGTGGAGTAGACATTGTCACCTGCAGTAGAGTACTTGTTGCACTAATGTGGAGTAGACATTGTCACCTGCAGTAGAGTACTTGTTGCACTAATGTGGAGTAGACATTGTCACCTGCAGCAGAGTACTTGTTGCACTAATGTGGAGTAGACATTGTCACCTGCAGCAGAGTACTTGTTGCACTAATGTGGAGTAGAGATTGTCACCTGCAGCAGAGTACTTGTTGCACTAATGTGGAGTAGACATTGTCACCTGCAGTAGAGTACTTGTTGCACTAATGTGGAGTAGACATTGTCACCTGCAGCAGAGTACTTGTTGCACTAATGTGGAGTAGAGATTGTCACCTGCAGCAGAGTACTTGTTGCACTAATGTGGAGTAGACATTGTCACCTGCAGCAGAGTACTTGTTGCACTAATGTGGAGTAGACATTGTCACCTGCAGCAGAGTACTTGTTGCACTAATGTGGAGCTTCAGTAGAGAACTGTTCAAATTCCAGTGAACTAAAATACCCTTGCATCGGAACCCACAGGGCCAGACAAATAAAGGAAGACACACACAAAAATAAGGTGGGGAGATAAAAAATAAGAAATTCAAGACTAGGGTGAATAAACAAATGAATGAACAAACTTTATTTTTAAAGATTGGACGGGAAAGGGGGGGGGGGGGGGGGGGGTTACATTTGGCCCTTCCAAACAGCCCATCTTTTCACACAGCAATATTGTTTTATCTGTAAAGCAGGTTTTTGTTCATATAACAGTATACATACTATTAGTTCACAAAAGCGTGAATGGTGTATGTATACACATATGCATACATACACACACCAATACATCAATAACAACACCTTTATTAACACTTGTAAGCATGCACACAGACACACAACATGCCCACACTCATACAAATACATGAAATGGAGGGCATTGGGTAAGCTCCACATGATGGCCAAGAATAGGAGGATGTGACATGAGCTGGCTGTGGGCCTTTATTCTCTATAATGGAGGTGGGCTGTATTGTATCCAGTGGGACTATTAAGTCATGACACCCCAACTCTTCCATGGTGCGACTCGTATCATTTTCTGGAAATGGTCTTTTTCAGAACAGCCCACTGCAGGAATCAAACTCTGTTTTTAAAGTGTCTAGGACTTTATTGCAAAACCTTTCAACTAGCCTCATGGCTACAGAAATGCACCAATGTTCTTGTAGGGGATAAAACAAAAAAAAAAAACAAAACAAAAAAAAAAGGAAGGAGGCAATAGTAAATGTTAATTTATTGATGCCTTTTCCATTGTGGTTATTGTCATTTTGGGTGTCTGCTTATAAGTCATCTACAAATGAAAGAAGTTTGTCCCACCTGAACCTGATAGCACAGTACATTGTAACCATCGGATACCTCAATACAACTGTGTTATGTGGATGAATAGAGTTTCTAAGATTGCCTCCTGTGTGATTGATTCTCATCAGAATAGTGGCTCTTCAAGTCAAATCATGTTGTTTTCTATCATGTTAGGATGCTCACAAGTTTGGAGCCACTCTGAAGCAGTCTCTATGTGACATGCGGCACCTGTTTCAAAAGTGATATAGCCTGTTGACCAGTGCCGGTACTCCTTGACAGCAGCCATGGAAAGCACTTCTGTTTATTTGCTGTCATCGTCAAAGGATTGCTCTACAGTTTGAGAACCACTGTACAATTTCTTTTACAGTAACTCATTAAGGATGTGATAATTTTGTATTTTTAGTTTTTTAGTTTTGTGCAGGATTGTTCTCTTTCTTGGAGATGTCTTACACTGATACATTTTTACAGTCTTGTGTGAAACTACAATATTGTTGAAGGTTTGTTTTGGTCTGATACAAAAGGTGTTTATAAAATATTAAATGATATTTGAAAGGTGAGTTCAGCAGGTATTATGTAAGTTCAGTTTGTTTAAAACACAGCAGGTTTTATGTTAACAAGTTGAAAGTTTAATTAAACGAAAATACAAATAAATAAACAACAACAGTTTCTGTATGTAACATTGCCATTTAAAAAAAAATTCAATTGAACAAATCAGTCTAAACGAGAACTAGTTAGTTTCCCAATAAAACACAGTCAATGAGGGCACAAATAATGGTTGAAGCTAAGAAGCCTTCATCAGAATACAGCACAATAATACGGCTATCTAAAATAATACACGTTCTTCTTCTTAACGTCCATGACATGTGGCATTGGTAATGTCTATTCACAACCTTCTGTCTTGTGTACGTTCCAGTCAACTCTGATACAAGTGATCCTCCAGGCCGTGATGTCAGACTAACCATATGTTCTTTCAGTCTCCCTCTGCCTCTCCTACCCTCCAACTTTCCTACTGTCACAATGTGCTCCAGTCTTCTCCTTCTCATTACATGACTAAAGAGTGTAGATTGTCTCTTTCTGATGTGGGCAATCAGTTCCCTTCTTTAGTCAATTTCTTTCAAGATATCTTCAAAAGAGTACATAAAATAGGATTATTGGAAGTTTATTTTGCTTGAATATGACACCTTTTGTTGAACATTACAAGATAATTAAAAGTTGAACATTACAAGATAATTAAAAGTTGAACATTACAAGATAATTAAAAGTTGAACATTACAAGATAATTAAAAGTTGAACATTACAAGATAATTAAAAGTTGAACATTACAAGATAATTAAAAGTTGAACATTACAAGATAATTAAAAGTTGAACATTACAAGATAATTAAAAGTTGAACATTACAAGATAATTAAAAGTTGAACATTACAAGATAATTAAAAGTTTATTTTACCTGAACACAACAGATCGTTTATAAACATTAAAACATAGTTGAAAGTTTATTTAAACTGAACACAACAGATTGTTTATAAACATTAAAACATAGTTGAAAGTTTTTTTAACCTGAACACAACAGGTCTTTTTTAAACATTACAAGATAGTTTATTTTACCCGAACAAAACAGGTCTTTTATAAACATTAAAACATAGTTAAAAGTTTATTTTACCTGAACACAACAGATCGTTTATAAACATTAAAACATAGTTGAAAGTTTATTTAACCTGAACGCAACAGGTCTTTTATAAACATTACAAGATAGTTAAAAGTTTATTTTACCTCGACACAACAGGTCTTTTATAAAGATTACAAGATAGTTGAAATTTTTTAACCTGAATACAACAGGTCTTTTATAAACATTATAATTCCAATTCCAGTTGTCAAACAAAAATTCAAAATTTGATCCTTTTTCAGCTGCCCGGAGGCCTGCTATATGAAGGAAGGTTCCTTGGCTATCTTATTTGATTTCCAATTATTTGTGGTGTGAAGTCACACCTGATATTCTGTTTCTTTGCCTTTCTTGCTACGGTGTGGTGCTTGGGGTTTTTGGGTCTGGTCTGGTCCAGTTCTCATAGTGCTGATATCTGTGGGTTTTAGCTGATTGTTGATGGTGCTTGGTTTACCTCGTGCTGATCGCTGTGCTGGTACCCTATTGCTGCTTGGTTGCCGTTACAAGATAGTTGAAAATTTATTATACCTGAACACAGCAGATCTTTTATAAACATTACAAGATAGTTGAAAGTTTATTATATTGGAACACACAAGGTCTTTTATAAACATTTCAGGATAGTTTAAAGCTTATTTTCCTTGAGCACAGCAGGTCTTTGATAAAACAGAACAACATAGTTGAAGTATTTTTTCGCTTGAACATGGCAGGTTGTTGTTTTTGTTTTTGTTTTTTTTAACATCACAGGATAGTTTTTGACTTTTATTTTGCTTGAACACAGGTCTTTTGTTGAACATTACAATATATTTGAAAGTTTATGTTTGCGATGAACTCAGCAAGTCTTTTGCAAAACCCTACTGGAGAAGTGAAAGTGTTTTCATGTCGTATCAATGCAACTGTGATGTATGTTCCTATCAATGCAATGGTGAAGGGATCTTATGTGTATATATACATTACTTCATGTATTCTACATTTCAGTATATCAGAAGTTAGTTAATTTTTTAAATGAAAAACCTCAAAACCTTTTGTTTGATTTGTTCTTTTTGTTTGTTTCAGTCTAATTTTGTGTGCCACATTATAGACTGAGAAAAAGAAAGAGATAAGTTCACCATTGAAAACTGTATAAAGTGACTTTGACCCATCGAACATATGGTGCTAGACCTATATATTTTTATAGACCAGTCAACACTTGATGGGTTATGTAGTTAACCTCATGCGGGTTCCTTTATATCCCAGGTTATTACTTGGTTCTCATTTAAGCTTGGGTTAAATCTGAGTTCCTGAGCTGGAATGCTACAGAAACATTCTTAGAATACCATGGGTCAAGAAGAAGAAAAACACTGGCATCCTAGGGGATTTGAGCATCAAGGAGAATTGGCTCGTAAACAGCATCCTTTACTGAAAGCTGAGGTATTGTGGCTATGTTCAACGTCAAAGTGGCCTCGAAGAGAACGATGATGGAGACTTTCTAGAAAATGAGGCTGCAACAGACATCTGCAAAAGTGGATACAGGACACATTGACTGTGAAAGCACCCAGGGCTGGACAAATGGCTTTTAAAAAAAAGAGAGACTTTCTGGCATGTTGTGAGGAAAGTGACATTCTGTAAAGGACCTGATTTGAACATTATACCTTTGGGTTAGCAGGCACGTGTCTCACCATTACACTACCACAGCTTGTGATATACTACAAATGATAAATAAGAACAAGCTTAACCCTTTTGGTCTCAAGCAAATTATTATTCAGCCCCTTTCTATCCAGGAAGTTGAGCCTAAAAGCAATAAACTCTAAGGTCTGAAGGAGTTATGAAACACTATGAGATAAAAGTAGAAAAACAAATAATTCAGATACAAGGGGTTAAGATAAAAACTGGGTAGAAGGCATTCAGAAATTGTACTTAGCCTGCCTCAGCTGGATCTGTACACCTGGGCATGCCGGCTTGAAATGTAATGAACGAGCAGACTAACTAGCACCCTCGCACAAAGAAAACAAGCGTAGACAGCAGATATCGACACTGCATGGACTAGATTAGTAGATAATGACAATCTTGGACACTAGCATGATTGCATGTCCTGGGGGCAAAGCATAGTGAAGCACATCCATGCCATCTTCGAGGCAGAGAAAGGAGACATTATTACCTGCTCCTCATGAGAACAATCAGTAGAGGTATCTTGTAATGGCTTCTGCATCGAAGGACTGAGCGGGCATGGGAATACCCAATGTGCAGTGGCATCAATGTGATAGCATAATTTTCAGTAATAGAAGGCAGCAACAATATTATAGTACCTGTGAAATAACCAAGAATCTTGTACAGTTTGATTGGTACTGAAATAGTTCAGTCTCATTTATACATCTTTAGGTATAGTGCTCTAGCCTCATGTTCATCTGGACCAGACATCACTAAGTGAATGGTGGGGTTAATATCATGCTTACACTTCCCTGGACATTTGCTGGTACCCATTTTGTAGGTCAGAGGAACTTGGAGATGTGGTTTCTGAGAGGCATGCCCCGAATGCTATGGACAGTGACTAACCATGGCTGCCTAGCCTAGAAATGGTTAATGAGATGATAACACTATAGACAACTATAATTAACCCTACCAGACCTGAGGCCCTGAACCTAACTGTCCCCTATACCTGAGCTCCTGGGCATTAACCCGAAAAAAGCCAACTACAAAAATATTTGTTACATGCAAACAAGTGGCTAGAATAAGATGACACTTGGAGCCATTGTAGAAAACAGGCTTATCTTTTATCTAGCGCCAATATTCCACCTTTGTGTGCCAATCCACTCAAGGGAGGATCAAGATTGTTTCACAAAGTGAGTACCAGATGTTACTGTTTGAGGAACACGCCCCCTTCTCTTACTATCGATCTATTTCTAGATTTTTAATTTTTAAGATTCTCATTATTCGAGCTGAATGTGTCACTTAAACTGTGAACGTATTCTTCATGAAATTATGATTACGCAGAGTCTGAATAAAACAAAGTATCGATCACCTATTGGACTGTGAAAAACCTAGACCTACTTTACTTTGCTGTCGAAGTGCTTAGTTCATCAGCCGCTCGTTTCATTGTGGATTTTCAGAATGTTTTCACGTAAAACAACAAATTTTATCCAAACACACGAGGGCAGACATCTAGGATCCACAAGATCCGATTACAATTGGCTAGTGACTTCCCTTGAAATTCATTAGTCGCAGGGCTTGTCTATGTTACCTGGTTGCTGCACTTAGTGACAAGCTAACAGCACATAGCATTTTACTGGTTGTTGTCACCTGTGATACTGTGTGTTGTATATTCCAGGATGTGAGCAATTTTAATGGTCCTGAAACATGCAGAACTAGCTCTAACCCCCCCCCCCTCTCAAAAAAAAAAATATATATATCATAGGCTGTATGCAGTCATCATACGTAGGCTGGCACTCTCTCGTCGGACGTAAGGGAGTTGGGGTTAGAGCCAGTTCTATATGTTTTGGGACTGTATCACCACCAGTGACACAGCACTACACCCTAGCAACATAGGACAAGCCCAGTGACACAGCGATTTATGAATGGCAAGGGAAGTTACTCTCATCCTGGGCTGGAC